CATGAAGAACGGAGAAGACAACCACGACGTGGAGAATGGTCAGATCAGGCGTTGTATTTCATCCTGGGAAACAAACTTATGGACTTATGGACAATGTAGCACGTTGGTGGGTGAACATGAATCGACGATTACCATCACGTGACCGGGCATGGACTTACCTAAAGAATGCGCTTCTACGACACTGGAGCAAAACTGGAAAAGTCGGCAGCAGAATGGCGTGTGTGAATATGCGCAGGATGATGCCTGGAGAGACGTACTCTGATTTTGCAGCTTCATTGCGAGATGTGGTTGGGCGTAATAGAGTCAGTGAACGTGCTCTATTAGTTTTACAAGAACCTAGATACGACTACGAAGAAGTTGGTGAAGCAGAGACCGAAGCCTAAACCCTTGGAAGCGGCCGTGGATAAAGCCAATAATATTGATGACACTATGGACAACTTAGCTCAGGGCATGCAGAACATAGGACAGCCTTGGGCCACAGCCCCAAGTCTTTTTATGTAGTACCAGTTGATGGCTGTTGGGTGCGATAGAAATGGAAAACTTAAGAATACTCGCAGCCTCAGAGAGAAAGATCGGGTCAAAGCTCCGAACAGTTGGATTGTCCAATGCGAAAACAAGTTTGTACCCGTTGACAACACACCACGTTGCAGGACCGTGATTAAAATAGTACATTCGGAATGGGTACCAATCGTGCAATTGTCTATCTGGCTTCGACGGACGTGCGTAGACAGACGCTTCCCTGGCAAAGTTTCACGACGCAGTAGCACCCAAAGCAGAACAAAAGCTTCAACAACATTGCTCAGTCCTGTGTACCACGAGTAGCAGCACTGCGGACAATCTTAAGATAAATAAAAAAAGCGAGCTGCCGAACAAATGGCTATATCCACTACGGCTGTTTAGACACACTATCCGTAGAAAGGAACTCAGTCCAAAATCAAAAATGTTAACGAGGTCGTCTCACTGTGTTCATATGCTCCTTCCACGGTGGATTGCCTCTGCGAAATCGAACAGTTGCCAGCCTATTAGATACGCGACCACGCCTCCACATAGCCTTAGTATTGACAAGTACTCGGCTGTCGTACGCTTATTACAACCTACGCGCTGATGAAGACGGACAAAACATGGAATAAACGTATATAATGACTGCATGTGCGATAGAGATTTATCACACGAATACTCGAATAATTCTTGATGTTGATTGGTTTTCGTATATTAACCCTTTCGTGGGCAATGGGGGCATTTTGCCCCCTTTGGAGGGCGTATCCTTGAGTACAACTCGTGTCACCCTCGAATGGGGTCAAAATGCCGATTTCTGTATGTTGTGTGTGTGGATTCGCCCTTTCTACTTGAACTACAACGGTTTGCAGAATATTTGCTGTAGTACCGTAGTTTATGAAAGGGGGCAAAATGCCACCTTTGATGACCTAATGACTTGACCTTCTATACAATAATATAGCCAGGTCGAAAGTACCCGTTCACGAAAGGGTTAAGTGTTA